AGAATTTCCATAGATTATTTGCAGAATTCAGTCCCTCATGCTTGTAGGACTGAGAGCCTCATTTTCTTGCAGGTTATTGGCTTCAGGCTGCCCTCAGCTTCTAGAAGCCACCCTCAGTTCCTTTTGGGTTCCGCAACGTGGTACCTTACTTCCTCAAAGCCAGCAAGGGCGAAAGGGAGGCCAGCAAGACTGTGCCATAGTCTCATGTAACATAACCCTATAATAAGTATATGTAATCACATATATTCCATCATCTTTGTGGTACTGTATTGGTTAGAAGCAAGTCACTCTCGAGGACAGGTGACTACACAATGGCATGACCTAAGAGTCTGTCCACCACAGATGTGATATTGGTATTGAGGTTACTTTTTTGGTAACAGTTCTTATATTTAAGAGGGAAACATTGAAATATTCGCCGATGAGAGTGTGTGATGTCTGTCTAGTATTTGCTTCAAAATAATCCAGTGGGCGGAGTATGGATGACTGTTGAACCTGGATGATGGGCTCGGGAGGCTCATGACACTATTCTCTATTTTTGAATATGTTTGAAATTTTCATAATAAAAATAAAAATGAAAAGCTAAAAGACAGCATGTATATTTGTTATCTACTGCTGCAGAACAAATGACCTCACAATTAAGTGACTTAAAACTACAGACATTTATCATCTCAGTTTCTGTGGGTCAGCAATCTGGGGCAGCCTGGCTGGGCACCTCTGGCTCAGAGTCTCTCACGAGGCTGCTGTCAAGGTGTCAGCAGGACCGCAGTCCTCTGAGGCTTGCCTAGAGCTGGAGGATCTGCTGCCGAGCGCATGCATGCGGCTGGTGGCCAGAGGCCGCAGTTCTTTGCTACATGGACTTCTTCCTAAGGCTGCTCCTGATGAGACAGCTGGCTTCTCACAGGGCAGGTGACCCAAGAAAGAGGGACAGAGAGAAACTGGCCAAAACAGAAATGCAACCTTTTACAACCTAATCTCAGGAGTGACGTATCATCACCTCTGCATATTCTACTGGCCTCGCAGACCAACCCTGGTGCAATGTGGGAGAAGACTGCAAAAAGGCCTGCAGAAGATGGGGATCGTTGCAAGCCATCTTGGAGGCAAGCTACCCCAGTGCATAAGGCAAAAACTGGGTATTGCCAAAATCATCCTTAAAAGTCCTATAAATAACCTATAAAGACTAATAGGTATACCAGTTCACAAGCCCAACACTGCCAGTTCTTTCTACAGTGCTGAAACACATCACTGTGTTTTTTGTTTTGTTTCTTTGAGACAGGGTCGCTCTCTATCATCCAGGCTGGAGTGCAGTGGCATCATCACAGCTCACTGCAACCTCAATCTCCTGGGCTCAAGGAATCCTCCTGCCTCAACCTCCTGAGTAGCAGGGACTACAGGTACGTGTCACACCACACCCGGCTAATTTTTCTACTTTTATTTTTGTTATTTTTTGTAAAGACAGGGTCTCACTGTTGCTCAGGCTAGTCTCAAACTCTTGACCTCCTCCTGCCTCAGCCTCCCAAAGTGCTAGCATTATAGGCGTGAGCCATGACACCCAGCCCACATCACAGTTTTGCTGAGTGCTAGATGAAGTTTGAAGTTGTTGGCTTGAATTAGAGACCATGGTCATTCCAAAAATAAATATATTTAAACACTAAAATTCTCTTTGGCCCTGAGCTGAACACCTATAGTCAAATTCAACTAAAGTAAATGCAGCATCATGGGATTTTAATGCACTGTTAAAGTGGGGAAGCTTATTATGTCTGGATGACATCTGCCATTTAAGTCCATTTTGCTGATTCTCCTTGATTGGGTTCCATAGTCACCATGCAGCTTTGTGATTACAACTTGGCTTCCAGACAGATATGCAAATGGGGAGCAAATGCTCTGATCTAATCTGTTCCATGGTTACATTTCTCATTGTAAAATAACAAATCTATATTCTGGCTTTATACATCAGTCTCTGTGGGCTAGGTTAATGTAAGTCTGCCCCTGAGAGATAGATTCGCTCTTGGTGCAGTCACATAATAGGCTTCTCAGCCTGCATCCCTAAGCCCCTGGACTGTGATGAATTTACCCAAGTAATGCCACCCTAGGAAGAACCATCTGAGTGACCTGAAAACCGTGCCCAGTTGTAGCAGCTATGTTAACTGTACACAGATGGATCCATGAGCTGTCCCGCGTTTCCTAGCTCCCTTGCTGTTAGATGGAGCTATGTGACCAGTCCTGGCCAACAGGCTGTGGACCGAAGGGACACCTATCACTCCTGAACCAAAGCACAGTGAAGTTTCCACATGTTCTTTCCTCCTGCTGAAGCAGCCGCGGGGGCCACCCACTGAGACGGCAGAAACATCAGCCTGGGTCCCTGTGTGATCACCAGGGGCAGAACCCCTCCTGACCTGTACTAGACAACGGAGTGGAAATAAATGTTTGTTATTTTAAGCCACTGTGATTTTGTGGATATTTCATATTTTTAGCATAACCCAGTTTAATTCAATATACCAGGAATGCCAACTTTGTGGGAAGCACTTTTTTCAACCAATGGCAACATTTAAACTTGAGTGCTAGAGTACAACTCTCACGATCTCCCTACACGTTCCCCAGTGTCCATTCTCGTAAGATCAGGGAGGTGAGAGGCGGGCAGAATCGGAAGAGGCAGGCGAAAACGTAAAGCGCTCTCAAACCTGCCCTGTTCATATTAGCTGATAACTCACTGTACACAGTATGCCAATCCCAGATGCTCTTTGCTCCTGCTACCCAAAGATGTCATTTTTTATAATTGTATAAAAATATAAAAAGCTGCTTGGTGACTATGAAGCCAAAACTAGGAAAGTCAGCAAAATGGACTTAAACAGTAGATGTCATCGAGACATGATAAGCTTCCCCACTTTAACAGTACATTAGAATCCCATCATACTATGTTTAATTTAGTTGAATTTGGAAGGGTGGGTATTAAAAAAAAAAAATTTAGTTGAGGCCGGGCACGGTGGCTCACGCCTGTAATCCTAGCACTCTGGGAGGCCGAGGTGGGCAGATTGCTCGAGGTCAGGAGTTCAAAACCAGCCTGAGCAAGAGCGAGACCCAGTCTCTACTAGAAATAGAAAGAAATTAATTGGCCAACTAATAGATATATATATAAAAAACTAGCTGGGCATGGTGGCACATGCCTGTAGTCCCAGCTACTCGGCTGAGGCAGCAGGATTGCTTGAGCCCAGGAGTTTGAGGTTGCTGTGAGCTAGGCTGACACCACGGCACTCACTCTAGCCTGGTCAACAAAACGAGACTGTCTCAAAAAAAGAAAATTTAGTTGAATCTGACTATATGTGCTCAGGTCAAGGCCAAATGTGATTTTAGTGTCTAAATATATTTAGTTTTATAGAAGTATATTTATATAAAGATAAGTGGGTGTCTTGTTTATCTATTCAGGGGTGCTTGTCCTGCCTCTGCCCTGCTTCCCTGGTGGCTACTTCTTACACATGGGTGCGTGACTGCGCTGAGTAGGCCGACTGAATACACACAGTAACCATAATCAGTTGTTCTGCCTATATTGACTCAATTGTCCATTGTCAAATGGACAGTTTCAAAAAAGTCATTTATACAAGTGAATATATGGTTTGAAAATACAGGATGAAAAGTCAAATCAGGTGCTACAGATAGCATCTTTCCTGCAAAAAAGAATAATACAGAGTCATCTCAGGGAATTGTTTCCCAAAAATATCCATTAAGAGCTTAGCACACATTTGAGAGATCAAATTCAAGCTCTTTCAACTATGCATTTATATAAAATTATTCATACAGTTCAGTCCCAGGCTGGGAGAACCTCACACTTGGTGAAAACCCTCCAGTGATTCTTGCCCTTGGTACCACGACCCATGGGTACGCTGTGGTCGTTTGTGAGGTCTGTGGAAGGTCACCGGTTACTCATTAAGTTAAGACACTGAAGCTGGTAAATTATTGACTTTATTGCAAATCAGGAGAAACACAAGACCGCTGCTATAATAAATTCACTCGTACATGATTTAATGAAAAGAAATAAAAATAGGAAACATGGTAGCAATTAAGGTGAAAAAATGTAAGGCACTACAAGGAATTTCTAACTTATCAGCTTGCAGTTTTTAAGATGGCTGAGAACAGCCATCAATGACACCACCTTACACAAACACTCTCAATGACTTGACAAAGTCCCCATACCAAAGTCAACTACAGGCATTCAATATTATAGCTTTCATGGAATTTAAAGTTATGTTAAAACTCATTAAGGTAAGAGAAGAATTCCTTTTATCATTCTACAGTCACATATCAAGAAGATTAAGAGATTACATTACTTTTAGTGTTTAATTTTATTACCATGGAAGTAGCCTAATAAACACTGTTTTGTTTTAATTTTCTGGGTTTTGTCCTGATTTTTAGTTATTGTGCAAGAGGGCAACAGCAAAAGCAACAGTTTTTTAGATACAGTAAAATGACTTCCCACCTTCCCCCCCACACGTGAACTGTTCTCACTTGGCATCTCCATGGCCCACGGTCATCCGTATCACTTCCACAGACACAGATGCCACTGCTAAGGCTTTATGGCGCACCGTGCTTTTATTTCTTAGTATTATATCGTGACACCTTTTTTAATATTTCCACATAGTTATCGGGTCTTTTGTAATGGCTGCAAAATATTCTATCAGGTACTCACACCTAAGTTTAAATGATTTAATCTCACTCCTCATAAACAGATTCCTCCTTCCCTGATTGGTAGCCAAAATCAATGAAGTGACAATATTATTCTTTGTTACTGGTTAATTGAATTTTCAAATACATTCATGGGTGGAACCAAAACTCCATTAGTTCATTATCATTATTAAAGCTCCATTACCATGGCTTCATTTTCCTTCCCTCCCTTCCTTCCTTCCTTCCTTCCTTCCTTCCTTCCTTCCTTCCTTCCTTCCTTCCTTCCTTCCTTCCTTCCTTCCTTTCCTTTGCCAACTGCAGATCTTGGGACATTTTTATATTTTTACCACGAGGATTAAGTGGACTACTATGCAAGTTTGCCAAAGGCAGCCCCTTACGTGTCCATTTATGCAGAAGACGCTTGGTGGCTAGACACAGCGTCCCGGCACAAGCACCCCTAGGCTGTCAGCGTGCCCTCCACAACAACAGCAGCACCTCCCCTGAGGTCCACGCGGCCGCCTGGGCGCAGAGAAACCTTCAGCTCTCCTCCTCGGCAGGAACACTGAAAGGCTAAAGCAAGCACAGAACAAGCCACGAATTAAGAGCATTTTCACCCTTTTAAATGAACAGAACATAGTGAAAGACTCCTTACTACAAACCCTGGGTTCTCCCGGGTCAGTTTTTCCTTCGTCTGTTTGTGGTACTACCACTCCCACCCCTGTTCTCCAGAAGACTGAGAAAGCCACAAATTCATTTTGATCTACGAACACACAGCTCCACATCTTCCCTCCCTGAGCCTTTTCCTGGGCCACTTCCTCTGCGACTTCCTATAATGCCTCAGACACACACCCCACCCACAGCTTCTTCCCCAGCTCTCTGTAGGAGGAAGCAAGGGTGTGTGAAAATAAGTCTAAGAAGATGAAGAGGGGTGGTCTTGGCCCTCCTGAGAAGGGCCTATCTTCTCATCTCTAAATAAGACAGAGGGAGTTTGTTCACTCACAACATATTCAAGCAACCACATGTGCCAGGCCAACAACAGAGGCTTGGTGTCAGCCTTCCGGGAGCTCGGAATTTAGGAGAAAAATTAGGCTCACCGAGGAAAACGAGCGGCCACCCTGCTTTCTCCTAATCAGACTCACAGAAGCCTAACCCTCCACTAAGTAAGGCTTCTGTCCTGTAGGGTCAGACTCCTTTGATCGTCAGGGCAGTGCAGCCTCCCTTGGCTGCCATCTCTTTCTCTATCCCTGAGCAATATAGTAATCACCAGGGGACTTGGTTTGGAAGTAATTTGTTCGATTCAATCCCGTGACTAGCAATAGCAGTAAGGAGCCTTGGTGATCATCCAGTCTTAACCAATCACATCGTAAATAATCTCTCTGGGCCAAAGTTATACAGCTAGTCAATTTTATTCAACAAACACTTATTGGGCAGTTCCTGTATCAGAAGAGCCTGTGTGTTGGAGGAGGCAGAGGTGGAAGATGTTTGGGTAGAGGATATTTAAGGGTGAAGGAATGTGAAAACCTTTCATTTTCACATGGATGATACATAACATTTCATTACATTTTCAAAAGGATAGTATATATGCAAAGGAACACGAGCTTAAAGTTAGGCAAACAAAAAAGAAATTGGAAAAGAGCTGTCCTACCACGCATTTCTTTCTTCCCCAGCTCCTGGGACCAGTAGCTGCTGAGAACAGTGTGCGCAGACCCTTAAAAGAAGGGAAAAGTTAAGAGAAATTACAAAGAAAACACGGCAACCTTGTGGTAAATTCACAAGCAATTATAATCAATTTTTCAGTTTGACTACACCTCTGATCACCTAATCATCACATTGGCTGAGCCACAGCAAAGTGTAGAATTATGAATGCAGATAGAAAGGAAAACACAGAATTTGCGGATAAGCTCTTCCAAATTATGCATCAAATATGTCTTATAGTTTCTTAAGGCCGAATTAAACTGCAGGGTTTAATTCTCGTCTTGTCTCCCAGCTCATTGTGAGCCCTTGGTAGGAAAGTCAAGGTCTTCACATAAATCTTTCTACATCCTCCCAGGGAAAGTATCAACTTCTTCCTAGGGCATATGCAAGGAAAGGTGGGAACTCTGACAGAAGGCCAAATTTACACTGAGCCAACATTCCTGGGCTTTTGCCACCAGAAGAACTTTCTTTATAATGGGGTGGTTTTTTTATATAATTGTACCCTAGAGGTTCAGATCAGAGATTAGATATTAAAATGAAGACACAAAATGTAAAAGTAATAACTGACATTAAAGTCTTTGAGGAAGAAAAGGATGAGGAGGAACCCCTCCCCCTCACTTCAGGAAAACGTATTGAGAGTTATGGGATGTAGAGTAGAAGTAGAGTGACCAACCCTCCTGGGTTGTCCAAGACCACCCTGTTTTAGCACTGAAAGTTCCATATCCTGAGAAACTCCTCAGGCCTAAGCACACCCAGATGGTAGGTCGTCGAAGTCCTAAGACCTTCATACTCTAGAAAAGCATTATTAAAGGAAAACAAAAAAACATGCATTCTGTGCCAGTTAAAATCTCTGTGGGCCGGGGTGCGGTGGCTCACGCCTGTAATCCTAGCACTCTGGGAGGCCAAGGCGGGTGGATCGTTTGAGCTCAGAAGTTGGAGGCCAGCCTGAGCAAAAGTGAGACCCTGTCTCCACTAAAAATAGAAAGAAATTAGCTGGACAACTAAAAATATATAGAAAAAATTAGCCGGGCATGGTGGCACATGCCTGTAGTCCCAGCTACTCAGGAGGCTGAGGCAGGAGGATCACTTGAGCCCAGGAGTTTGAGGTTGCTATAAGCTAGGGTGACGCCATGGCACTCTAGCCCAGGCAATACAGTGAGACTCTTTCTCGAAAAAAAAATCTTTTTGAAGCAGTTGTGCATGTGCTCAGAACTTCTCTTCCATGGGGAAGTTGGACTGTTTGGATATTGTCGGGCATTTTCCTGAGTCTTTAAAAATGCTTGTTTGCTAAGCTTTAAATGTCATGTACTTTGTTCCTCAGAGAATAACTAAGCCATCCAACGCCTGCCACCTGACCAGAACAGGAGCCTTGAAGCCTCTGCCCCACCTCCTTTGTCGCTGGCCACCACCCCACCCACTGGCCTCCCCCATCAGCATTCCCGTGCTTTGCTGCTTGGCCCACTGATCATGAGAGCAGGAGGCACAACAACATCTCTGCCCATCTTCAATTCCATCCCTCTTCTTCCAGCTAGTGGAAGCTCTGGAAGTGTTGGCTCCCAGAGCCAGTTTCATTGTTATTATTAAAATAGCTAATAGCCATTGGGCACCTACCATGTGCCAGGCACCATACTAAGCACTTAACATGCATTGTGCTTACATAACCCTATGAGGTATTATACACATTTTGTACAGAAGGGATCTGAGACTTTTAACAGTTAAGTTTCTTGCCCAAGGTCAAGAGTAGGAAGCCAGAAATGCAAACCCAGGCTGTCTGACTGCTATCCTGCCTCCTTTATTTTGTGTCTTTCAAAAGATGGACAGGAAGGGGAAGACATAGGGAAACAAAGGCAGCTCAAAACCCAAGCTACCTGGAAGGTCACATGAAGGTCAACTTACATAACTATTTGTTATTCTCCTCTTGCATTGTTTAACACTCTCCCGGACTCAAGTAAGAAGTACCTGTTACAGGGTCTTCAGCCACACCAACCCATGGTGCAAAATATCTGGAGTAAAAGTCAAATGCTTGGGTCTGCCCACCAGGCTGTCCTTTCAGGGTAAGAATGAGTCCTTTCACCTTCCCTGTGTTTTCAACTTGCAGCAGATTCCCCGTGTTCACTTTCAGGTTCTCCAGAAATGACCTTATTCATAAACAGGGTGGATTAGGACAAATCCATTTCACAGCCCACCCACTGCACAGGGCGCACTTGCCCAAACAGCCCAGCAGGAGAGGGAAGAACAAGTGGTAATATCTTCCCACGGGGAAAGGAACTATGGCTGCACAAATCCTGGTTTGACTGGACACAGCACAGCCAGACCAAGCCAGAGATATGAATCAGGGTGCTCAGCCCTCCCCAAAGGGCTGACACAACCAAAAAACTTACCTGTCGTAAGTATCACTGAGTCGGACCAGGAGCTTTCGGGTGTCTGGAGAATAGCGGATGTCCTGGACCAGGGTGTCACCTATGGCAGTCTGTGGAGACAGGCCAAAACCTCAGGAGCACACTCTGGGTCAAGTCCTTGATCCTCTTAAACCTCTCACTGAGCGTCCACTGTGAGCCGGGCACACCCATCAACTCCAGTCCCCAAGAGTGTTAGCTCAGTTTCAGGGCTCAAGGTGTTGCCCAAGGATACCCAGTTTCCTGGCTACCAAAGAGGCTTCTGTGAGCCTCAAAATAAGCATTGCTCACAAGTGCCTACTACGTGCTCAACACACACAACTCCTTCAAATGGGTATTTTCCCCAGAGAGAAAGAGGTCCAGGGTCATATGCACACATACATAAAAATGTTACAAACACACACATAGACACACAGACCACACACACATAGATCACACAAACACACACACACACACATGCACTCACGCACACACACATTTTGACCCAGTTCTGAGTGGCTCTGGAGTTCAAGCTCTGAATCCCTACTGTCTACTGTCTTTAGAGAGGGGGGCTTCATGCCCACCTCCTTAGGGTTGTTATGAGGATTAGATGAAGCAATATATGTGGAGTACCTGCAGTAGCAACTAGAACATTCTCCATGGCAAGGACTCAAGCCGGCCATTTGATTGGAAGTGGGGACTAGAGGACTCCTCTTATGTTGTTCTATTTGCCACCACTTTCATTGAGATTGTATGTTACAGATCAGTAACATAACATTTTCTCCAGATACCTTGGTGCACTAAGACTGCACACAATCTTGCTCAAATCCAAGAACATCATTTGTTTCCTTGCATGTTTGTTTGGGGATGGGTAGAGGCACTGCAGGAGATGATGAGGGGACAACCTCTGCCCTAGTCATCCTTCAGCACCACCTGCAGCTGCCAGGCAGCAGAAGACAATTCATGGCAGTCGTGTGGCAGTCATTGGGTGGTTTCAAGTTTGCTAACCCCATCAGCGACGGAGATGTTCAAGTTCCCACAGCCAGAACTCCCCCTGCCTTGGGTGTTACCTGGGCTTTCTGCCTCTGTGACCATGGGCTGACTAATGTCCCTCCCTCAAGAAATGAGAACAGCCAGATCTCATCTGCTCTCCAGGGCTGTTTGGTCTCTCGAACCCTGCCCTTCTCTGAATGGGTCTCTATATGGATTTGAAAATTTATTTCTTAGCTGGGAATCTCATTGCTAGTTTCTAGGAAAGAGCACAAAATGACAACACTCATGATATAAAAAAAACAAAAAACAAAAAAAAAAACACCTTCATTATCCCATATTGCAAATGGTGACCCAGAGGCTTACAGAGACTAGCTGGGTTAATTCTTTCTTCCATGAACAAAGTCCACCATTATGAGCATTTTTTTTTTCTTTTTAAAAACTACAGATGGAATTGATATTATGAGCATTTTCCACTTTCTTACCAACATGCTTAAAGCAGTTCATTTATAAATTGGCATGTCTCCAGAAACTCAAGCCATGGGTGGGGCAAAGTGTAAAATCAGGATCTGTGATCCTTGTTTATACTCTTTAGAAACTTAGATAAAGCAAAACACTAAAGAGATTATAAACGCTGCAATTGAAAAGTCACAGGTAAACACTGCAGTGGTACCCACAACAGACCATTTCACAGAAGCGTTGTTCTCAAAGCAGCCCTTGCCCTGGTGCTGATCCGGGCTCCCTCTTCTCAGAACACTAGCACCTGGTCATGCAGGGCTGCTCAGCTCTCTAGAACCTCCTTGGGACAATTGTACTGCCCACCTCACAGGGTAACATGGAGAATTAAATGAGATAATGCAAGTGAAATGTTTGGCATGTGGCCCTGCACAGAGCAGACTCTCAAAAATGTTATCGTCATCATCATCATCATCATCGTCATTATCAAGCGCCACACCCACATAGACCCCATGAGGAGGCCAGGCTATGTATCTTATCTCCTCTGTTGAGGTATCCATGTTTTCCTGGTCTCCTCTGTCAAAGCACAGCCCTCCCACCCCAGTCCCACCCTCCACCACAGAAATTGGGGGCACTGGAAGCTGCCAGGCAGTTTCCATTCTTCCCCTCAACCTTGTTTGTATGGATTTTGTGGAATGACCTTTTTCTGCCAGAAATCCCCAACTTTCATGCCCAAACTTGTATGGCCGTGCCCCGGACCCACTCCTCCCCTTCTAGCTAGAGGAGGACAGAAATTCCACACCCCTTCATTTCCTAGGGGCTGCTCTCCTCCCAGAGACTTATGCTTCCTACTCTCCCTCTTCCCCGCCACCTCCTTCCAGTTCTTTTGCTGTCATCTGCCATACAACAGTCTCTCCTCCCCGCACCCACAGAGGCTAGCACGGACAACTAAGAGTCAAGGAAAACTTTTTAAGCTTCTCACCAAATAGACTGAACATTAAAATTCAAACCTGAACTACTGTAACATTTATACTGGTATAAAGCCTATCTCTGGGGACCAAAGGATCCTGAATCTTTGTGTCCAAACAATAACAAATGACCAACTCATATAATAAGCTCAGGTTTGATTCTTTTCACTGACCTTTATCAAGTCCTCTACTTCATGGAAGTCCTAGATGGGGTAAAAAAAAAAAAAAAAAAAAAAAAAGACAAAAATCATTGTAAAACAGGTGAGCTGTCGGTTGTACACAGTTTATGGCAATAATCAGAAAGAGCTGACCTGGGGGTGGGCTGGATAAAGAGGAAAGTCCAAGACAATATCATCCTCTGCTCTTCTGGCCTTTAGTTCCCCACTCAGAGTGACAAACGTTAGAGTGCTGTTCACGTTTTCTGGCCAAAAAAAAAAACGCAATCAAGACACAGAAAATAAACTTTGTTAAATATTTGCATTTCATCTCCTATTCCAATCACCTTTTCATTGCCTTAGATTTCTGGCATTGCCCTCCTTTCCTATGATGGGGCCCAGGTTTGAGCTGCTGAGGTTTAGAGTGGGGAAAACCCCCAGTGGATTCTAACTCGAGAAACAAGAACATAACTGATTGGATGTGGCATGATGCTGAAAGGCTTCGAATCCCAGCTCCTTACCACCTAATTACTGTGCCCTTGAACGAAATACTGGACTCCCTTAAACCTCAGTTTCTTCATGTATAAAATGAAGTCAATAATTAAACCTACCTCATAGGGCTGTTATAATGTTTTCTAATGCAGATTTTAAAATATTGGCCGGGGGCAGTGACTCATGCCTATAATCCTAGCACTCTGGGAGGCTGAGGTGGGTAGATTGCTCAAGATCAAGAGTTCAAAACCAGCCTAAGCAAGAGCGAGATCCCGTCTCTACTATAAATAGAAAGAAATTAATTGGACAACTAAATATATATATATATATATATATATATATATATATATATATATATATATATATACATATATAATTAGCCGGACATGGTAGATCGCTTGAGCCCAGGAGTTTGAGGTTGTTGTGAGCTAAGCTGAGGCCACAGCACTCTAGCTTGGGCAACAAAAGTAGACTCCGTCTCAAAAAAAAAAAAAAAGCCACAGCACTCTAGCTTGGGCAACAAAAGTAGACTCCGTCTCAAAAAAAAAAAAAAAATATCCAGCAACCATAACTTTAGAGTCATAAACTCTTCTAGTCTAAAATATGCCAAGGGGGTGACAAATAAAACATATAAGTTGTAAATATCATCTTATATGAAACAAATCAAGTTTATCCTAAACAAACTCAGCTATACATAAAAAAATTGATTTAGGCCGGGCGCGGTGGCTCACGCCTGTAGTCCTAGCTCTCTGGGAGGCTGAGGCGGGCGGATTGCTCGAGGTCGGGAGTTCAAAACCAGCCTGAGCAAGAGCGAGACCCCGTCTCTACTATAAATAGAAAGAAATTAATTGGCCAACTAATATATATAGAAAAATTAGCCTGGCATGGTGGCGCATGCCTGTAGTCCCAGCTACTCGGGAGGCTGAGGCAGTAGGACTACTTGAGCCCAGGAGTTTGAGGTTGCTGTGAGCTAGGCTGACACCACGGCACTCACTCTAGCCTGGGCAACAAAGTGAGATTCTGTCTCAAAAAAAAAAATGCACCATAAATGCTGATGGCACTTCATGTTACCGACACAACTTGGCTCACTTATCAGTGTGTATAACATTTTTAGTAAAAAAGACTTGTGATCTAATTTTTTCTCCCCATAATATTTCTATAAAACTTAAACCATATCTCAAAGGTGAAGCGATTTGGCTTATTACCTTCCATTGAGCATAAAACTGACATTCTCAAACCCAAAGCTTAGTTTTTCTCGTTATAATCGGTGTAAAACATTGTTTACAAAGCATTTTTTCATGTTATCTCATCAAACCTTAAAACAGCCCTATGGGGGGTCGGGCAGTCCCAGGGATTATTATTCCAAACCTTAGCATCATACCAACCCATGTGGGGTCCCGTTTTCACAAGAGTTTCACTCAGTCCAACTCCAGTAAAATCTATTTTTCAGGATTGAGTTCCCCAACATTTCAGAATGTTTGCTTGTCTTCTCTCTTATATCCTATCCACAGAGACCAAGATCATGTTTTTTAAGTGTATATTGGATTATGGAACAGCAGCACCTAGACCTAACTCTCAACTTCATCTCCTGCCCCGCAGGCCCACCCTCAGGAAGCTCAGGCCCTCCAGGGCACACCCAGGGGCTCTGCCTTTGCCCCGCCTCTGCCTGGGATCTCCTGGCACTCTAGCTCTTTGCCCAGACGTCATCTTATTCTTCAGCCCAAAGGCCTCCTTCTCTAGAGGGTGCTGTTATCCAGATTCTACACCCAACCCCCCACCTCAGGGCTGGGACTAGGTGAGGCAAGGCAGTCCCACAGGGTGCAAAATATAAGCTGGTACTTCCTCTCGGGTGCAACCTGAGGCCTTGCCTGCTTCCCCTACACCTATCCCTGATCCTGCTGCTGTGGTGGCCCACAGCTCTCGGCTGAGTCCCTATCTGGGAATTGCCCTTGGCTAAATAGAGCTACCTTGCCTAAAGTCATAGCATCTTTTCAAGGCCTTGGGGACAGGTCCTCTGCCTCTAATTTGGAACTGCCCTAGGTGAAGACATTCCCAGCTTCAGAGTTCACCGTGGGTTTGGTGTAGGCCCTTCTTTGTTACTACTAATTTGCGGTACAACTTCTCCATCTGTTCAATCTTGCTTTCTTTGCTTCCCTACCAACACTGAGCCCAAGACTATTCCTCCCTCCAGTTCCTCCTACAGGGGCGTTTGCCCTGCAGCACCTCCCCTTACCATCTCCCCCAAGCACCTTCCTTTCCAACTCCCCTGGTGACTCTCTGTCATATCATCCTGTTTATTTCCTTGTTTGTTGTCTATGCTTGTTTGTGGCTGCTTTCGTCTCCTCTGTCCCATTCCCACAAAGCCCTGATCTTTGTCCATTAAACTAAATGCAGCTAAGATTAAGGTGCTGCAACTCCTCTTAAGGTAAACGTATACAGCTGGGGCCCAGGAATGAATTTCAATGATGGGTGTGGGGAAATACTTGGAACAAAGTGCGTGCCTTTCGGTCCCCTGAAATCACATCATGTGAGATGACCATTCCGCCCGTGTAAGCTCCCCTGCAGTGTTGGTCACAAGGACCAGAGATCTCCTATTTAAAACGAAAGGGCATTCTGACCGTGGCTTTCCAATGATACCAGCACATTCCCTGAAAGGCCAAAGTGTTATAGAAGGGTTGCTCTTTTTGTTTCTACATCATGAATTACATGAAATAAACTCTGCAATGTCTTTATACCAGTCACTTCGATCATTCAGAGTGAGAATTTTTTTTTTTAATATTTGCTATTTTCTAAGCGATAGGTCCAACAAGGAAAGTCATATTACTTATTTTGTGAAACAGCACAGCTGCAGAAGCCAGGGTGGCGTGGCCACAGAGTGGGACTTCGCTCACCGGCGTAAACCACCTTAGTCCGAAGCAGGAACCTTCAGAGGAGGGAAAGTCAAAGGGAGACAAGATCATTCCCACGCAAGCAGGTCGCAAACTTGTCGTTTGATGCTTCTTTCCTAAATATTGCGCTAGCAGGATTAATAGCCGGAACATGCCGCAAAACGAGGAGTGAAGGCTAGGCAAGCACCCTAGGGGTCCCTGGTGCTAGGTCTGCAACAGACACATTCAGGTTCACCCCCCCCCCCAACGGAAACTCAAATCAGAATGTCCTCCTCTGTCTACTACTGCATGCAAGTAATAAATGGGCATTTCCCTTAAATATCATTCCCCCACCTAAAAAATAAATTCTAGTGCCATTCAAGGATAGTAAAAAATAAAAATTATGCATATTTACTTTCCGTAAAGTTATCTGATGGGTGCAGTTTTCTGATAAAAGCAGTTTCAGAGAGGTTCATTTCCCTTGCAATTTGCTGATGCAAGTCTTCATCCAATTTCTGAATTAGAAACAAAAGATTATTGAGATTTCAGAAACACAGATCAGACTTCCTTGGACAGCAACTACTACCATTAGTTCAAAAAGTAGTTTATTAATATTAAAAGTTACAAGCTTAAAAGGAAATAATTGCCAAGGAATTCAAGGCATTTTTATAAAGATCATTTTTTAAATCCATGCTTGCAGCACTCTATGAAGAATTAAGATATGCAAAGCTATAGAATAGACTCTGAAAAATTAGCTGGCCCAGCCTGGACTGTCTTTTGTTAGATTCATGTCTGGTCTATTTGAGAGTGTGTGCTCTCTTTTTTGTTTTTTTGGGGGGGTTTTTTTGAGACAGAGTCTCACTCTGTTGCCTGGGCTAGAGTGCTGTGGCATCAGCCTAGCTCACAGCAACCTCAAACTCCTGGGCTCAAGCAATCCTTCTGCCTCAGCCTCCCAAGTAGCTGGGACTACAGGCATCACCTCTATGCCCAGCTAATTTTTTCCATATATTTTTAGTTGGCCAATTAATTTCTTTGTATTTTTAGTAGACAGGGTCTAGCTCATGCTCAGGCTGGTTTTGAACTCCTGACCTTGAGCGATCCTCCTGCCTCGGCCTCCCAGAGTGCTAGGATTACAGGCATGAGCCACCGTGCCCGGCCTCTTTTTAAAACAATCTCCACAAAAGGAAAGCCCTCAATCTCTCTTGCCAGGTTGGACAAAGAAATATTCAGCACTCATTCTGGGTAGGTTGGACTGCTATCTTTGCATTGTTCACTCCTTTTCATGGGAGAAGATTCAGGTCAGAGTTCACCTCCTCCAGGAAGCCTTCCCAGACCACTCTAAAGGTACTGTCTAAAGGTACTGTCTCCTCTCCAGTTTTTAGAGCTCCTGAAATTACCTGGTGTGCCTATCCACCTCTGACTATAAGTTCTACGAGGATGTGGATTGTGCTGTCTTGCTTTGTCTAGGCCTAGAACAATGCTTGGTACTTATCTCAGGATGGTAGGAGCTCAATAAACATTTGCTGAAAGAATAAATACATTATTTCATTTAATCTCATTTTTAAAACATTCCATGTAAATATTTTTATACCCTTAGAGATTAAGAATTTATTTCTTTTTTTAACTCTCTAAGGCCTGTGCACAGATGAAGAAATTAAAGAGAGAGCCTATGGCCCATCCTGAGAACATAATGTACCTTATAAATGGTACAGTGATTAAGAATGGGGGCTTTGCAAATGTGGGAAATGGTAACAACTGGTGAATCTGAAAAGTATATGGGTGTTCCTTATATTGTTCTTGAAACTTTTCCATAGGTTTTTAATTTTTCAAAATAAAATGTTAAAAAAAATAGGCCGGGTGCAGTGGCTCACACCTGTAATCCTAGCACTCTGGTAGGCTGAGGCGTGAGGATCACTTGAGCTCAGGAGTTTGAGACCGGCCTGAGCAAAAGCAAGAACCCATCTCTACTGAAAAAGAGAAAAAAAATTAGCAGAGCATGTTGGTGGAGTCTGCAGTCCCAGCTAGTCAGGAGGCTGAGCCAGGCGGATCACTTGAGCTCAGGAGTTTGAGGTTGCAGTGAGTAATGATGACGCCACTGCACTCTATCCTGGGCAGCAGAGCGAGACTCTGTCTCAAAAACAACAAAAAAAAAGGTTAAAAATAAAGGTGGGCTTTAGGAACAGAATTGGATTTATCCTGGGTCAGCCCCTAGTAGCAGTGCAATAGTGGGCAAGCCATTTAATCTTACGGAGCCTCATTTTCCATACCCTCAAAATGGGAAGAACAGTACTTAAGTTAAAGATTTATTGTAAAGATATATACATGCATACATACATACACACACATTCCTCTTAAGAAAAATACACGTCGGGGCTGGGCGCGGTGGCTCACGCCTGTAATCCTAGCTCTCTGGGAGGCCGAGGTGGGCGAATTGCTCGAGGTCAGGAGTTCGAAACCAGCCTGAGCAAGAGCGAGACCCCGTTTCTACTATAAATAAAAAAAGAAATTAATTGGCCAACTAATATATATAGAAAAAATTAGCTGGGCATGGTGGTGCATGCCTGTAGTCCTAGCTACTCCGGAGGCTGAGGCAGCAGAATTGCTTGAGCCCAGGAGTTTGAGGTTGCTGTGAGCTAGGCTGACACCACGGCACTCACTCTAGCCTGGGCAACAAAGTGAGACTCTGTTTCAAAAAAAATAATAAAAAATATATAGAAAAAATTAGCTGGGCATGGTGGCGCATGCCTGTAGTCCCAGCTATGCAGGAGGCTGAGGCAGAAGGATTGCTTGAGCCCAGGAGTTTGAGATTGCTGTGAGCTAGGCTGAGGCCATGGCACCCTAGCCCGGGCAACAGAGCCAGACTCTGTCTCAAAAAAAAAGAAAGAAAAAGCAGATCAGAAATATGAGTTTTCCTTTTGAGAATGAAAATCAATTTTTAATTAACAAAATGCTCACTAATCAGATCTTGAAATTTAAAGAAGTCTCAAGCCTTCTTGCTTTGGCCAAACTTACTATCCTTGAGTTCCTGAAATCCAGAAGATAAAAATTATAATTTTATATTAATAAATTCATAATTTATTTCTTTGAGTTATGCAAGTTAAACACTTTGTTTATTCAAAGTCTTTTGAAACATGTTCCATATAATTGCATAAGGCATAAAACAGTGGTTATTGTGAAAAATCAGCCATGATTTTTAAACTATCATCTGACATAAAAATCCTAGCAGGAAACTTACTAAGCTTTTCTTAAAGGAGGCCTGTATTCAAAATCTATAGAAGCTCAGTAGGCTTACAGAAAGAGAAATCACTTAGAAAATTAACACTTATTTTCTGAAAACCCAAGCATAACACAATGGTCTTTTTTGTTTGTTTTTACTTGATGTTTTTCTGTCAAAAGATTAAATTAGCAGGGTGTGGTGGCTTATGCCTGTACTCCCAGCACTTTGGGAGGCCAGGGCAGGAGGATTGCCTGAGCCCAGGAGTTCAAGGCTACAGTGAGCTATGATTGTCCCAGTGCACTCCAGCCTGGGCAAAAGAGTGAGACCCTGTCTCAAAAAAAAAAAAAAAAAAAGAAAAGAAAAGAAAAAATTAAACCTAGTAGTACATATAAAGTATTCATTCCAGGGCCAAACACATAGTAAGTACTTGATGGCTGTTAGCTTTTTATTGAGTAGCCCAAAGTTCATACTTTAACCTGCCACACTACACTGCCTGCCCATAACAAAGACAAACTATTATTATCCCTTTAACATGATACAGACAGGGAAAACCAATGTCTAGCAGAGAAAAATGGACTTCTACACGGTTTCTAAAGGAGGAGAGCACCCAGTGAGTTAATGAGTGCTGTGCTGGGCCAGCAGCATGGCACCACTACGAGGGAATTTGTTAGGAATGCAGAGCAGAGTCTCGGGCTCTGCCCCAGACCTTCTGAATCAGAGTCTGCATTTTTACAAGATCCCTGGGTGATTCATTTGCACATGAACGTTTGAGAAGCCCTGGTGTATGTGACCTGGCCCTGTGCTCAAATGACTCAGCATCTAGGTGGGAAGTCAAGGCACCCATGGAAAGCAACAGGGAGCAATACCAGAGAATATGTAATTAAGATATATAGATTTTGACAATACATACTCTAAACCTTTGAAGATGAAGGTCTTGAGGGGAAACTAGTAAGGAGGGCAGAGTCTGGGGAGTTGGACAGAAAAAAAATGTAGGCAAAGAGCTTTGTATTGGGGCAGCGTCTTGGGCAAGTCACTTGATCTCACTTCTATTCTCTTGCTAAGTCAGGGATTAACCAATGACATCTTTGACACTCTAGAATTCTAGAAATAGGATGACAGGAATGAAGTGGAATAAGCACCTTTCACGCCTGTGGGCACCTGTGGCCCTGGGTGAGAAGTCCCACCTGAGTAGAGGAGTAGAGGAGTGGGAACCTGCTGGGGAGGGCCAGCCAACAAGGCAATGACATTAACAACTGAACTCAGGGCTGGGTGCGGTGGCTCACACCTGTAATCCTTGCACCCTGGGAGGCCGAGATGGAAAGATAGCTTGAGGTCAAAAGTTGGAGACAACCTGAGCAAGAGTGAGACTCCATCTCTATAAAAAAATAGAAAAAATTAGCCAGGCAGCGTGGTGGCACGCCCATGTATGTAGTCCCAGCTACTCAGGAGGCTGAGGCAGGAGGATGGCTTGAGCCCAGGAGTTTGAGGTTGCAGTGAGCTATGATGATGCCACTGCATTCTGGCTGGGTCAACAGAGCAAGACTGTCTCAAAAAAAAAAAAAAAAAAGAATTGAACTCAAGCACTTCCCATGGTCTATTGAATGTTCTCTGTGGAAGCTGGTCCACAGGCTCATGCACACGACTTATGATAGAAACTGGGGGGTATTTAAGTCCCTTGTACAAAGTCTGCAATCACAGCCCTCAATGGTGATTGAAGGGGTGATCAAGAAAAGTCTTTTCTGGGTTTCCTGGATTTGTCTCCTTGGCTGCAGAAACCTGAAATGCCTTTCTCTATCTGGTCTGGCCAAATTTCCTATTCCTATCCTTCTAAATCTTCCTGTGACCTTTAGGATAAAGGTGTTAAAGCATTCCACATCATAGCCAACCTCACCATCTATTGGTAATAAATTTCTTTGCAAAGGGACCTTTTTACACATTAGCTAGGACACACACTTCACGGCCCATCAGTTCTTTATTCCTCTCTTCCTTGGTATACTGCACTGATCGCAATTTGAATTTCTGTAACTGTAACTGCTGTCCCAGGACACTTAAAAATGTTCTCACTATTTTCTTGAGGAACCAGAGAAAATACAGAAAGTTTGATAGTAGCAGCCTTCCAAGTGTACCACAGGCAGCTTTCACTGAATTTTCACTGACATTCACTGAATTTCTACACTGCAAACAAAGGTCAAGAAAACCGTGAATTGTGAAAAGGTTTCCACTTTGAGAGCCTTAGAAACAACCCTGGAGAAACAAAAGAAAGAGAATTAATTCATTCAAAATAACTGGTTTTGGCCG